GTTTAGCCCAACATAAGGAACTATGGATCATAAGCCCACTTTATAAGAATGAATGATTTACACAATCAATCCCCATGTATTTAATTAATCTCTTTTGATCACAAAACTAATTCCAAATTAATTCTTGATCATTACTAATTAAATAATATGATTTCATATTAATATATTAGAACTTCAAATATATTAATAAATCATAAATAACCTCTTCTTACAAGTCCATCCTATCAAATTGTCTTGGTGATATGCAACCCAAATGGATCATGCTACTCTCGCTCAAGTACATACCAATAATATTTATGGGCTTAGACACCTAATCCAATAGTCTCCCACTTGGATAAGTCTAATAACTATTATTGCAAGCATGACTCCAACCCGACTAGCAATCGTAACTCTTAAAAGTTGCTATCGAACTCTAACCTAGTCAATGATGCGTCCATTAGATAAGGGATAATATATTCCTCCATTCTAGATATCATATTGACTAAGACATGGATTTAATCATTCTCTCTATCCATCTGTTGTTTCCCGATTTCTAATTTATGATGACCGACTAATTGAACAAATCAAATCAGTCTAGGCTTAGCCAAACACTTAGGGGTGTCATCACTAAATCATCGAGGGGCCCACAAATATCACTTTTATCCACATGGGGTAAAAGGAACGAATCAACTTTGACCCAAATGCTCGCTTGTACTTACTCATAAAATTATACACAACGATATGTTTTATAACAACCAAGTTACTAGTGCATTTACATATGTCAATGTACATCCGACTCGCAACTACAACTCGCACGTCTCCATTTCAAGAATATAAGATATTATCGTCTCACAATCACTCTTGATAAAATCCATGAAGTGATTTAGATGAGTGTGGGTTGGATCCAATACTCGAATCTTATTCCAAGAGTACTCATCAACACCGCAGCCACTTTGTCCTAGACAAACTTCAAACCCATTCATGATAGTCTTGCCTCAATACCTACTTCCAAAGTATGATCGACTGTGTATGGTTTGAATAATCTAGTTATCCGGGAAGTCAAAACATTCAAAGTGAAACACAAGAATAATACTAATCCTATATGGCCCAAAAACTTTTGAGTCATATTGATTACTCATTATTCATTGTATAATGGTTCGAATAATCAACTTAATACTTGAATTAAAATAATAGTTATGACATGCTCCAAGCATGCACACTATGTTTGTCTATGGTCCTTACTTTGCAAAATAGATCATTTGACAATATTTCAATAATGCTCATTTCACAATTCCAAATCCTTACCATAAATGTAAGAATGTCAAATTCTTTCCATTTACTGTAGTCTATTAGATTTTAAACTTAAAATTAATGAACCTCTTGTAATGACTATGCACAAAAGTCACAGAGACTTGGCAACAGACATTACAAAGTAATCCAATGGAGAGAAATTCCACTGAAACGAAGTCTCAAAGTCAAAGTACATACCTTTAAACATCCTTCTTGCATTAAGTTTTCTAATCTTTCTCATCTATTCTTCAACTCCCAGTATGGAAACATTCCATATTTTCCATACGACAATTCATTATTAATAGACTCATGTCTATGGTCTATTCATAATAATGTCAATATGGTCCATCCATTACTATACTTACAACTGTCCTTAAGCGACCAATCCTTGACGAACCTTAGATTTTCCTTAACAGGTTTTTAACCACTTTAGTCATATTTGGTTCTATTCTTTTTTCCCTCTAAATCCTCTAGGCATTTGGAAAATTAGAATACGAGAATATTATAGCATATGCAATCGATCCTATACCCGAAGCATATGGGAAACGGTTCATAATGTCTAACATAAAGACATGATACTTGATCGGTCTTTTGCTATAATATTTCTATTTACCATGTTCTCATAAATTTGATTATGTAGAGGGATGCCATAATCATAATCAAATTTTGAGAATGCAATTAACATTTTGATATACATAATTTCCTTATGTTGAACCATTCCAACATATATATATATATATATATATATATATATATATATATATATATATATATATATATATATATATATATATATATATATATATATATATTTGACTAAATGTGATTTAAAATCTCAATCTAAGCTTTTAGAACTGAAATGAAGTATAATTTCCTCTCCCTTAATTATAGCAAAAACTAATTTTCAAATTCTGCAACATGCAAATTGAAACTTTTGTTTTCTATAGCTAACATTGCTAACTTGTAACATTTACCATAATTGATTATGCTCCCACTAGCATTATAATTACATCATTATTAGCATAATGTGTTCCCACTAGATTTGACATGTCCTTAGAAATCAGGTGGACTTTTAGAAATCAATACTTCATTGACTTTCATTACCAATGTTCAGATTTCTGACATGAGATGCTTTGATAAGACTTTATCTAGGCTTCTTAAACTCATCCACATTTCCTTAGATAGCTAACATATGTGTCTAAAAAATTTAAGAACCTACAGTAATAAGTCTCATACCTCACAATTCGAATTATGAAAAGGGATGTCGTAATCATAATTGAATTTGAGAATGCAAATATCACAATTTCTATCTTCAAATCTACTAAGTGAAAGCGTTTCCTCACAATCATTTTTATGAAGCGGAGAGAAACCTTATGACACATAGATTTAACGTGTATGTGTTCATATCCATGTGAATTTGTCAAAACCATAATCACAAGACAAGGTTAATGACAAATTCAAACTCATATGGACTGAACTTGCTCAATCTTAATTTGTTGCCACTTGGCAGCACAAGGGCCTACCATTGCTTCCAAGTTGTTATGCACACAATCGAGAACTCATAGAACTCACATACATAGTCAACTTTAACTAGAATGGGCATAGAAATAAACATATATCAACTCAATAGGTTGAAAACCTCAAGTTGTGTGCTAGTGATAAACAATAGGTTTGATTCTTGATTAGTTCTTGAAACTTGTCAAAATCTTTAGGACTCCCACTGACCTCTTGACATATAAGATTCTCTTGTCAAGAATCATTCCTTGAAAAACAAATATTTAAGAGTCATTGTGGATTCTTATCAAGATAAAAACTTCACATAATTGGTCTTAGTTGCTCTTTGTCTAAACTCCTAAATCTGCTTGTGTATCAATTAGATCCAATTGATGGTAGGGAATCCCAATCAATCGGATGTTGCCAGATCAAATAATAATAATAATAATAATAATAATAATAATAATAATAATAATAATAATAATAATAATAATAATAATATGAATCTTTAATGTATTGATGAATGGAATGATGCTCCTTTACATGAGATTCACACACACACACTACTCTCTTCTTCTCTATAGTTTCTCTCTATAAAACACCTTGGCTTTCACACACTTAAGCTCCTCGCTACGCTTCTCTCTATGACGCACTAACACACTATATATATGGAAAAATGTAAGTCCCAAATCTAATGATCCAATTCAGTAATGAATGAAGTTGATTGAAATAAAGGAGAGATGTAGAAGAAGAAGATCTAAAATCAAGCATGCACACATCTATTGCCTGTAAATGTCAAGTACATCTTGAGAAAAGTACTACTACAGCAGAGTTCTGACACGAAGAAAAAAGTACAAACTAACACAACTCAGTTGATTTAAATAGTACCCTCCTACCAGCACAAGAGTGTGCAGTCGTACACACGTGTGCGGCCGCACACACATGTGTGGCAGCACACAATACAAGTTTAAACACAATCACTGCAAAACTGACACTATCACTTAGACAAAATGATGCCTAGCTCAAACCACAAAATTATGTTCTTTCAGTCTCCCCCTTGGTTTGAGACTAGCATAGACTTGTCTTCACTCCTTTGGCTCCTCAGCAGGCTTCTCAAACAACCTCAGATCTGATCTCCCCATCGATCCCATCCACAATCTTCCATTTATGATCATAGCCACCATTGCAGTGAATTCTTTAGCAACAGCTTCCATGAAATCTTTTCTACAAATGATTTGATGACGGGCCAGAGTTCGTATATCCCTTTCTCTGAAACGAAGAAGATCTTTAGCATTAATCAATCTCAGAACATGTTCTTGATTCTTGAATTTGATAGCTGCAGTAGCAGTTTCGTCATCATATGCCCAAAATTCCATATCATCCAGATATCCCTCATGAAAATGTTCAGGAATAGGAATTTCCTTTTGTTTCTTAGTTGCAGGCCAGAGTATAATCTTCATGGATTCGCCTGATTCTAGATCAAGAACATCTTTGTCTTTTCTATATAGAGCTTTTGCAGTCTTCATTGATGGAAAGTTCTCTTTGACCTGTCTGTCGAGAAATCTTTTGAAATTTGAAGCACTAGGATCTTCAGAGGGGTTATGGAATGGGGCCGTGGATAATTCAGCTAGATTAGTTTTGGTCGAAGAGTTGAAATCATGGGTGCTTTTGTAACATTCAAATGCTCCTGATTTTCGCTTTACAACCCACAAATTCTTCACTGGATCAAAGGCCCACATTCAGATACATGTCCTGTCACCATACTCATCACCGAACTTTCTTTTCTTCAAATCCGTTACTGTTAAGATAGGGTCTCTTGTTTTTCAATTTTCATTAGAATTTTTCATGAATAAAAGGACTTCGCTTTGATTTGCAGTTATGATTCTTTTGCCCTACTTGATTGTGATTCTGGCTCTGCTTCCTTCTGGTTCTTTTTCAAACCTGTTGATAGTTGTAGTTGTTCTTGGAGTAGGTGGGTTGACAGGTAGATCATCAGTTGCAGGACGTGATTGAACAGAAGGAGGATCAACTACTCCATGAGGCTGTTGGAAGAGGGCTTTGAATTTTTCACCAAAAGCATCGTACAATACGTTCTTGAGATTGAAATAATTAGCTAGAACATATCAAAGACTCGTTTGTAGATCATTGATTTGTTTGGTCTTTTCTTCATCCTTTGCCCTGAGCTCAAAGATATGTGCGGAAAGCTGATCCATATGAATTGACTTTTCAATGAGCTGTTAGCGGAGAATTCCAATTTCCTCTCGGAGATCAGACGAAGAGGATTTGTCATCATCTGTCCGACCCTCGTTAAATGATATTCCTTTCCCGCGTGAAGAGGTTGGACTAGATTGAGCCAGATGCTTTACTAATCTAATAGAAACTTCATCGAGAGAAGGTCGAGTTGGAGAATATTCTAGAATCGATGAGGATCCACCAGTCTCGAACATGGTACTTGGACCTTCATCAGTTTGCTTTGGAGGAGAGTGAGCAGAAGTAGCAGTGATTGTTGAAATAACTTGAGGAGCACATCTTATAGAGGGTACCTCCAGAGTTTCAGGAGATTGGCTTGTTCTCATGGAATTCTGAGAAGTCTGAGGTTCAGTTAAGTCAGAAATGAATGGAGCAAATGTTGAGATAAGTGACACAGAGGGAGGAATCTCTGATGTCACATCTCCTTGGCTTGTTGCGACCTCCAAGGGCTTTGAGGTAGAGAGTAGAATTTTGAGAAAATTTCCTTCATCTCTAGTCTTGGTTGCTAAAGAAGCAACTTCATTGACTTTATTTACACGGCTGCTGGGAATATCAAGAAAAGGATCAAAATCTTCATCACCAAAATCAAACTCTATGTTTGTTGGAATGTTGTCATTGATTCCTGTAAAGTCGATTTCCTTCAAAAACTCCACATCTTCCTAAAGATCATCGTCATCATCCTCTCGAGAAGATTTTGAATCATTTGCTTTCTGATTATCATGCTCATCAGCTACATAAGCTGTGGGAGACTGATGAATCTCCTCCACTTCAGGCTCGAAGGGAGAGTGAGGAATATCTTCATTTTCCATCGGCATGGATTGTTCTTCAGATTCTTCTCTAACATCCTCTTTAAAACTTCCAAATTTTATTAATGGAAATTTTCCTTCAAATACGAACTTCCCGCCTCTCTTTTGTTTCATTATTCCAAAGGCACTTGGACCAACGGATTTGAAATCCAGAGTATCATTTCCTATCTGCATCTCAGGGTGAGTTACGTTAAGGATGATTTGTAAAAATCTTGTATACATACAAAATTTGTCTCTTTTGCTCCCTTCAAGATTTAGTATCATTTCATTCATTAGAAATTTTGAGAAATTGAACTCAAAACCTGCTGCCAATGCTGCAATGGCACCGGTGTTGGCCATAGAAATCTCGTTTGCTCCTGATCTCCAGCCAGAAATGCAGCTCACGAACACATGAGCCAAAAGCTTCCAGCATGGAGGAAGCATCTTCTTGATTGTAGGAGGAAAAGTTCCTTCGTATCCCATATGATCTAAGATTTCCTCAATTTGATGAACGTCAATCTCCATGGGATAATTAGGTATGTCCTCAATTTGGAGAGATTCTCTGATGATGCTTTCTGTTACTTGAATTTTCTTGTCTTCGATTGCTGCTTCCATAAAATTTTCACCTTGATCATTCTTCTTTACAATAGCATTTCTCCAGAAATCCTTAATCAAACCTTGGTAGATAGCAGGATTTGTAGTTAGGGCATGAACCAAGCAGAATTTCTTCAAACCATCCACAATGAATTTCAAGTCATTGTGGGCTGCAAGAGGGTCTTCAAGAAAAATTGCAGAATTGTGGACTTTAGCGAACTCCATGTCTCCCATTTTAATCTAAAAGGCAACACACAAAATTATTAGGGAAAAACTATGAGAATGATATAGCCGCACACGGAGTTACACTCAGCTGCACACGCACGTGTGCAGCTGTACACGGTCAGCCGCACACACTCATTATAAAATAATGTGGCTGCATACGGTCAGCCGCACACGCACATGTGCGGCCGCACACACCGTGTGCAGTTACCCTTGAAGACAAACCATTTTTATGAAGATTCAACAGCAAACTATGAAAAAATTTGTGAAAATAATCGAAAAATCAGCCGTGTTCATGAGAATTACCGAGTAAAGGGTTTGATTTCACAAAAAATTAATGGAATATTTAAGGAGTTTGAGAGAGAAATAGGTGTGTGTGCGGTTGAAGCAAGAAATAGTGACGGTAAAAATCTCACCGCACACACACACACACACACTATATATATATATATATATATATATATACACACACACACACACACATAAATTTTCATTTTCTTCCCATTATCCTTTAATTATTAACGCCAAAGCCCCTTTAACTCACCATTTTTTCAAAAATGAATTATTTTGAGGATTAATAAGAGAATAATTTCAAAATTCCTAATAAAAAAAATTAAAATAAAAATAGGAAATAAAATGAAATTGGAAATACTATTGACGACAAGGAATAAAAAATCAATTTAAACCTATATAAATTGTTTTAACCTTTTGAGGTTTTGGGATCAAACTTTTTAGACAGCCATTATCCCCTTGTCGGTACCTTTCATATTCACATCTTTGTCTAGTCGATTGTCGGTATTGTTGTCCACTTAAACACGAAATTTTTTGACAAAATTAGGACACACTATGAGTGACAAGACAATGTGATCCTAAATTCCTAGATATTACATTTAAACCTAAGTTTCTAGATACTATATCTTAAGGACCATTCAGCTGACGACGACGAGGGATATTGTTGTCCACCTAAATTGAGCAGCAAGAACTATAGACAATCTTTGAGTGTTCAATTTTAATTATACTGGAACATGTTTCCCGCTTCCTGATATGCCCTAACCATCAAGATAAAACTTCCAGAGTACTCCTTACATCGGGTGAGCAGACAACCATTCAGAGAGAGGATAGATTCAGAATTCTATTACTTATGACTTATTATTTCAGAGGGGTTGAGAAGTACAAGGTTACATATGTTGTGTACCAGGTCGGATTAGAAGTCACGCAAAGGAGACGACATATGGCTGACAGATAAGAAGTATTTCACATATATAACATGCAGAGAAATAGAGTTGCATATGTTGTGTACCAGGTCAAATTGGAATTCACGCAAAGGAGACAACATATGACTAACAGACGGAAAGAAGGAAAATGATGTTCTACAGACCTAATTTATCGGAATTTACCAGTTGCCCAATCCAACCGGAATTAAGGACAAAATCCACACATCGATGAAAAGTTAAACCACGGTTGCAGATACGGGTTCATTTAATGTGACGAGTAGATTCCCATATATATCTCCCTGCTCAACCTATCCGAGCGTCGTATTGTCAGGCTGAACGGATCTAACTAGGTCAAGATTTATCAAGTCTCTAGATTCCTTAAGTTCATCTGCACCTAGTCAAGTCTGTTAAATTCTTCGTGCCTATAGACGCATCAAACCAGAGCATAGACCCTTCAACTTTGGGTACGTTACGCGGACTTAGATTTCCTGTTATCACTTAATAATATCCCTTCCCAAAACATCTCCCTCAAGCACATTCTATAACCAGCATAATTTTTTTTTATTTTTCTGATTTTCTAATGTTTTTGGATGTTCTAATTTTTTATGTTTTTGGATTTTCTAATTTTTGTTTTGTTTTTATTTCTCCCCCTAAATTTGTGCATAGGAGAGAAACGAAAGTAAATGCACAAATTTAAACTATCCTAAAACAAAATTTGTCTTTAAAGCGAATCAGCTTAAGAAAAAAAACTCAGGAGGATAGAGAAGAAAACTCAAATCGTAAGTCACCAATTGAATTTGCATCCAGAAGGTCTGAGAACAGCACGCGTAATCTCAGAACAAATCCGAAAATTCTTCAAGTCATTAAGCACAAACCCCGTGAGTGATCAGTTCCTTTCTTCCCTTCCCACAAGGACACATACTCTCAAACAATGTTTTGAGTGTTGTACAGTTGAGAGATGTCCCCTATCAAGTGCCAGGAATAGCCACTACCAACAAACCGAAGTCTGATGATATGCCTCCATAGCTGCTCTGACACAGAGCGGGATCAGTTGGTCTTTGGAACCCAGCCCATTTTGAAACTGGGTTGACCTTTGTCATCCTTGCATGGTACTCTCTCCCATGACATGTCCTTCTTATCACAAATAGAAGATGAAGAAATATTAGAGTCGTTAGAAGATTTGGGAGAGTGACCCTTTGGAACCCATTTGTAGTTGGGTTTAACCCATTTATTTTTCAATCTGATGGATGGCTCAATACTTGTTTTTGAACTTGATGTCGGCCATTGAGATTATTTTGATTTTGACTTCACGGGAGCATCTCTTGGATTTGGCTTCTTGGTCGATATTCCCTTCCTGACCTTGGGATTTGATTTCTTGGCCTTTGGAGTTGAACTCTTGCCCTTCGTGGCATTCCAGTCGCCATTGTCTGAACATGAACTTGAGGGGTTTCTTTTGAAGTATCTCCCTCTTGGCGCGTTTTGCCAGCCTTGTGCATAGTAGGGAATGTATGCGCGATTTGGACAGTTTCGGGCAATGTGTCCAGATGTTCCACAGTGAAAACATGTCTTTTTCTTCACTGTGGAGTTGTTTCTTCTTGCCCCTGGTGGCGTATCCTTGCCTCGTTTCTGATTGTTCCCACAAGCACACTTGTAGCAAGTCGGCTGTTTCACCTGACTCGGTGGCCTGTACTCCTCAACAGCAGGTTGATCAGAAGCAACTGAGTTCGAAGCAACAGATTCAGAGTTCAAGGAGTCATTGGTTTGTTCAATAGTTTTCTCCTTGTTCTCATCCTTTACTACTTTACCTGCGCAAGAAGTAGAATCATTAGTATCGTTTATCTCAACATCTTCAGTTGGCCCTGATTGTTCAGTCTTAACTGAAGCTGAAGCACGGGTTTGACCATACTGAGCAAGCATTTCTTCCTCATTGGTCTCAAGGGGTGGGTTATAGTTGTGATTGAAAGGTGGAGGAACACAATCGTACACTAAACCCTTGTTTTGATTATCTTTGAATTTTAATTGGTTTTCAAATAATGACTCGACTGTCTTACTTGACGCAGTGTAATTTTTAAAATTAATATCTGTTTTTCCACACTTAATGTTCAAAGCATCAAGTTCTTCAGTTACAACAACAAGTTTGCATTTAATGTGATCGTAATTTTCACACTTGTTGATGTACTCTTCCTGAAACTTCCTAAAGTCTTTGGTTTTTGCTTCTAGTTGTACTTTTAACGGTTTCTGACATTTCCTTAAAGTATAGCTTTCATATTTTAAATTTTTATATTTTTTATATTTTTAATTGCCCTTTGACTTAAAAACTGAGAAAGTCAACCTTAAAAGTCAAACTCAAAAGTCAAACCAAAAAGCTAAATTTGAAAAATTAAAAGTCAAACGAGAAAGTCAAAGTTTAAAGTCAAAGCTCAACTTTTAAAAGTCAAATTCAAAATTTTAAAGTCAAAAGTCAAAAAATAAAATCAAAAATTTTTGGGTTGAAAAATGATTTTAAAAATAAAATTTTGAATTTTTGGTGTTGAAAATATCAAAATTCGAAAGTTGGAACCGAGAAAACTAGCTTATGTTTTAAAAAACCGAAGGAATGTAACAAAAGAATGGTTGGATGAGATGGCAAGGCACGCAGAATTGAATCTAGAGGCTCCGGGTTTGATCCCTGGCACCTTCAAACCCGTTTCCCTTTTTTTTATGAAAGGGCTGTTGTGCGAGGACTAGAGCTGCGAAGCAAGGAGAGCCAAATGCGAGCCGAACACACTAGTGAGCCGTGAATCAGAGGCGAGACCGAGCCGTATACCGAGGCCGCACACCGAAACCCTACCCGCACACCGAGGCGCACACTCCGAGCCGCACACTACTCATCCGCACACACCGAGCCGTATACTTCGAGCCGCACTCCTTCAACCAGCAGCATACCTTCAATCGGGCCGCACACCTTCAATAGATTCACGAAAAAAACGATGTTTTTCACCCTTTTTTGCTCTAAAACTCGATCAAAAACTCGTTTTTATGAAAAATGCAAAGAAGTAACCCCCCTTATTTTTGCGAGATCTATCTAAAAACGTTGTTCTCTTTTCAAAATAAGATAATATAAGCTCCAGATCTGAAAAAATTGAATGATACAACCAAGCTCTGATACCAATTGTTAGTCCCCAAAATTTGATTGTGTATCAATCAGATCTAATTGATGGTGCGGAATCCCAATCAATTGGATGATGTCAGATCAATATAGAAGAGAAGGAGAAGAAGAATAACTTGAATCTAATGTATTGATGATATGATTGATGCTCCTTACAATAGATTCTCTCTCACACACACTTCTTCTCTCTAACTTTCTCTCTCTTCTCTAGCTTTCTTCTTTTTATTCAACCGTACACTCCCACATGCATTCCTCTATTTATATGGACCTCCAGCCATACACATGTGTACAGCCGCACACCCTGTGTACGGTCGTGCACAGGGTGTCCGGCCGTACACACGTGTACGGTCGTACACACAAACCGTAAGCACATATAAAATTGCATAAAAAAATATAGTTTCCTAGAAAAGCAAAGTATAAACCATATTTTTGACCCAACAATACAAGGTGTAAACAGATTCACGGCTGTGAACACCACCTGGCCGTGAACACACCCAGCCACAAACACGACATGGATTGTAAACTATTAAAGCCTAGAAAAGTAAAGTGTAAACCATATTTTTGACCCAACAATCTCCCCCTTGGTTTATAGCTTTATTTTCTAATTGACCCAACAAACTCCCCCTAAAATGTACCTGGATTTTCTTGTC